TTTGGTTTAGGAGTAGGTGTAGGTTTAGTGTTGAAGTTAAGGCTAGGGTGAGGATTAGGAGCATGTGTAGATTTAGTGTAGGAGTTAAGGTTGGGGTTGGGTTATGGAGTAAGTGTAGGTTTAGAATTGATGTTAATGTTGGGATGAGGATTAGGAGTAGGTGTAGATTTAGTGTAGGAGTTAAGGTTGGGGTTGGGTTACGGAGTAGGTGTAGATTTAGTTTTGAAGATAAGGTTGGGGTTAGGTTATGGAGTAAGTGTAGGTTTAGAATTGATGTTAATGTTGGGATTAATTAATTTTAGGGTTAATTTTGGGAGTAGGTGTACATTTAGTGTTGAAGTTAAGGTTAGGGTGAGGCTTAGAAGAAGGTGTAGGTTTAGTGTTGAAATTAAGCTTAGAGTGAGGATTTTCTTAAAGGTAGTTTAAAATGTCATTTTTTTTTCCATGTATCACACCTGAACTCTGAAATCCTGTTAGTTGGGTTCTGTAGTTAACTTTAGTACAGTTTTATGTGTGCCTTAATCCTGTGTGATGCTTTGCCTCATTTATCCATATTTCACACTAACATTCAAACATTACTTAGCACTGCTGTGCTTCAACATAAATCTGATCTATAACACTGTGTATAACACTATCTGATCTCACATTATATTTGAGTCACTTTTAAATGTGCTTTTTAATGTTATCTATGCTCTATAGGACATTTTTATTATATTAGCTTTTTTATATTTCCATCATTACTTTTAACAGTTTCCATTATAATCCCTCTAATAACTACCATTTTTATTTATTTATAACAACAGCTGCCGCGCAGACTGAATTGATCTCCACTTCAAGTAGGTTTCCTCAGGGACTATTACTATACAAATACTAATCGCCAGCAATTCTCAAAGTTTTTTTTTATTTATATATTAATGATTTCATTTGTTAGAGTTAGTTTATTTATATATCTAATGACTGAAGACTCTGAAAATATGGAAAGAAACGTTGAATCGATGGAATGAAACTATGTTTCATTTGGTACGTTTAGGAGTAGGTGTAGGTTTAGTTTTGAAGTTAAGATTAGGGTTTGGTTTAGGAGTAGGTGTAGGTTTAGTGTTGAAGTTAAGGCTAGGGTGAGGATTAGGAGCATGTGTAGATTTAGTGTAGGAGTTAAGGTTGGGGTTGGGTTATGGAGTAAGTGTAGGTTTAGAATTGATGTTAATGTTGGGATGAGGATTAGGAGTAGGTGTAGATTTAGTGTAGGAGTTAAGTTTGTGGTTAGGTTAAGGAGTAGGTGTAGATTTAGTTTTGAAGATAAGGTTGGGGTTAGGTTATGGAGTAAGTGTAGGTTTAGAATTGATGTTAATGTTGGGATTAATTAATTTTAGGGTTAATTTTGGGAGTAGGTGTACATTTAGTGTTGAAGTTAAGGTTAGGGTGAGGCTTAGAAGAAGGTGTAGGTTTAGTGTTGAAATTAAGCTTAGAGTGAGGATTTTCTTAAAGGTAGTTTAAAATGTCATTTTTTTTCCATGTATCACACCTGAACTCTGAAATCCTGTTAGTTGGGTTCTGTAGTTAACTTTAGTACAGTTTTATGTGTGCCTTAATCCTGTGTGATGCTTTGCCTCATTTATCCATATTTCACACTAACATTCAAACATTACTTAGCACTGCTGTGCTTCAACATAAATCTGATCTATAACACTGTGTATAACACTATCTGATCTCACATTATATTTGAGTCACTTTTAAATGTGCTTTTTAATGTTATCTATGCTCTATAGGACATTTTTATTATATTAGCTTTTTTATATTTCCATCATTACTTTTAACAGTTTCCATTATAATCCCTCTAATAACTACCATTTTTATTTATTTATAACAACAGCTGCCGCGCAGACTGAATTGATCTCCACTTCAAGTAGGTTTCCTCAGGGACTATTACTATACAAATACTAATCGCCAGCAATTCTCAAAGTTTTCAGTTTAGATTTCAGTTTTCAGTTAAATTCAGAATTTATTTATATATCTAATGACTGAAGACTCTGAAAATATGGAAAGAAACGTTGAATCGATGGAATGAAACTATGTTTCATTTGGTACGTTTAGGAGTAGGTGTAGGTTTAGTTTTGAAGTTAAGATTAGGGTTTGGTTTAGGAGTAGGTGTAGGTTTAGTGTTGAAGTTAAGGCTAGGGTGAGGATTAGGAGCATGTGTAGATTTAGTGTAGGAGTTAAGGTTGGGGTTGGGTTATGGAGTAAGTGTAGGTTTAGAATTGATGTTAATGTTGGGATGAGGATTAGGAGTAGGTGTAGATTTAGTGTAGGAGTTAAGTTTGGGGTTAGGTTAAGGAGTAGGTGTAGATTTAGTTTTGAAGATAAGGTTGGGGTTAGGTTATGGAGTAAGTGTAGGTTTAGAATTGATGTTAATGTTGGGATTAATTAATTTTAGGGTTAATTTTGGGAGTAGGTGTACATTTAGTGTTGAAGTTAAGGTTAGGGTGAGGCTTAGAAGAAGGTGTAGGTTTAGTGTTGAAATTAAGCTTAGAGTGAGGATTTTCTTAAAGGTAGTTTAAAATGTCATTTTTTTTCCATGTATCACACCTGAACTCTGAAATCCTGTTAGTTGGGTTCTGTAGTTAACTTTAGTACAGTTTTATGTGTGCCTTAATCCTGTGTGATGCTTTGCCTCATTTATCCATATTTCACACTAACATTCAAACATTACTTAGCACTGCTGTGCTTCAACATAAATCTGATCTATAACACTGTGTATAACACTATCTGATCTCACATTATATTTGAGTCACTTTTAAATGTGCTTTTTAATGTTATCTATGCTCTATAGGACATTTTTATTATATTAGCTTTTTTATATTTCCATCATTACTTTTAACAGTTTCCATTATAATCCCTCTAATAACTACCATTTTTATTTATTTATAACAACAGCTGCCGCGCAGACTGAATTGATCTCCACTTCAAGTAGGTTTCCTCAGGGACTATTACTATACAAATACTAATCGCCAGCAATTCTCAAAGTTTTCAGTTTAGATTTCAGTTTTCAGTTAAATTCAGAATTTATTTATATATCTAATGACTGAAGACTCTGAAAATATGGAAAGAAACGTTGAATCGATGGAATGAAACTATGTTTCATTTGGTACGTTTAGGAGTAGGTGTAGGTTTAGTTTTGAAGTTAAGATTAGGGTTTGGTTTAGGAGTAGGTGTAGGTTTAGTGTTGAAGTTAAGGCTAGGGTGAGGATTAGGAGCATGTGTAGATTTAGTGTAGGAGTTAAGGTTGGGGTTGGGTTATGGAGTAAGTGTAGGTTTAGAATTGATGTTAATGTTGGGATGAGGATTAGGAGTAGGTGTAGATTTAGTGTAGGAGTTAAGTTTGTGGTTAGGTTAAGGAGTAGGTGTAGATTTAGTTTTGAAGATAAGGTTGGGGTTAGGTTATGGAGTAAGTGTAGGTTTAGAATTGATGTTAATGTTGGGATTAATTAATTTTAGGGTTAATTTTGGGAGTAGGTGTACATTTAGTGTTGAAGTTAAGGTTAGGGTGAGGCTTAGAAGAAGGTGTAGGTTTAGTGTTGAAATTAAGCTTAGAGTGAGGATTTTCTTAAAGGTAGTTTAAAATGTCATTTTTTTTCCATGTATCACACCTGAACTCTGAAATCCTGTTAGTTGGGTTCTGTAGTTAACTTTAGTACAGTTTTATGTGTGCCTTAATCCTGTGTGATGCTTTGCCTCATTTATCCATATTTCACACTAACATTCAAACATTACTTAGCACTGCTGTGCTTCAACATAAATCTGATCTATAACACTGTGTATAACACTATCTGATCTCACATTATATTTGAGTCACTTTTAAATGTGCTTTTTAATGTTATCTATGCTCTATAGGACATTTTTATTATATTAGCTTTTTTATATTTCCATCATTACTTTTAACAGTTTCCATTATAATCCCTCTAATAACTACCATTTTTATTTATTTATAACAACAGCTGCCGCGCAGACTGAATTGATCTCCACTTCAAGTAGGTTTCCTCAGGGACTATTACTATACAAATACTAATCGCCAGCAATTCTCAAAGTTTTCAGTTTAGATTTCAGTTTTCAGTTAAATTCAGAATTTATTTATATATCTAATGACTGAAGACTCTGAAAATATGGAAAGAAACGTTGAATCGATGGAATGAAACTATGTTTCATTTGGTACGTTTAGGAGTAGGTGTAGGTTTAGTTTTGAAGTTAAGATTAGGGTTTGGTTTAGGAGTAGGTGTAGGTTTAGTGTTGAAGTTAAGGCTAGGGTGAGGATTAGGAGCATGTGTAGATTTAGTGTAGGAGTTAAGGTTGGGGTTGGGTTATGGAGTAAGTGTAGGTTTAGAATTGATGTTAATGTTGGGATGAGGATTAGGAGTAGGTGTAGATTTAGTGTAGGAGTTAAGTTTGTGGGTTAGGTTAAGGAGTAGGTGTAGATTTAGTTTTGAAGATAAGGTTGGGGTTAGGTTATGGAGTAAGTGTAGGTTTAGAATTGATGTTAATGTTGGGATTAATTAATTTTAGGGTTAATTTTGGGAGTAGGTGTACATTTAGTGTTGAAGTTAAGGTTAGGGTGAGGCTTAGAAGAAGGTGTAGGTTTAGTGTTGAAATTAAGCTTAGAGTGAGGATTTTCTTAAAGGTAGTTTAAAATGTCATTTTTTTTCCATGTATCACACCTGAACTCTGAAATCCTGTTAGTTGGGTTCTGTAGTTAACTTTAGTACAGTTTTATGTGTGCCTTAATCCTGTGTGATGCTTTGCCTCATTTATCCATATTTCACACTAACATTCAAACATTACTTAGCACTGCTGTGCTTCAACATAAATCTGATCTATAACACTGTGTATAACACTATCTGATCTCACATTATATTTGAGTCACTTTTAAATGTGCTTTTTAATGTTATCTATGCTCTATAGGACATTTTTATTATATTAGCTTTTTTATATTTCCATCATTACTTTTAACAGTTTCCATTATAATCCCTCTAATAACTACCATTTTTATTTATTTATAACAACAGCTGCCGCGCAGACTGAATTGATCTCCACTTCAAGTAGGTTTCCTCAGGGACTATTACTATACAAATACTAATCGCCAGCAATTCTCAAAGTTTTCAGTTTAGATTTCAGTTTTCAGTTAAATTCAGAATTTATTTATATATCTAATGACTGAAGACTCTGAAAATATGGAAAGAAACGTTGAATCGATGGAATGAAACTATGTTTCATTTGGTACGTTTAGGAGTAGGTGTAGGTTTAGTTTTGAAGTTAAGATTAGGGTTTGGTTTAGGAGTAGGTGTAGGTTTAGTGTTGAAGTTAAGGCTAGGGTGAGGATTAGGAGCATGTGTAGATTTAGTGTAGGAGTTAAGGTTGGGGTTGGGTTATGGAGTAAGTGTAGGTTTAGAATTGATGTTAATGTTGGGATGAGGATTAGGAGTAGGTGTAGATTTAGTGTAGGAGTTAAGTTTGTGGGTTAGGTTAAGGAGTAGGTGTAGATTTAGTTTTGAAGATAAGGTTGGGGTTAGGTTATGGAGTAAGTGTAGGTTTAGAATTGATGTTAATGTTGGGATTAATTAATTTTAGGGTTAATTTTGGGAGTAGGTGTACATTTAGTGTTGAAGTTAAGGTTAGGGTGAGGCTTAGAAGAAGGTGTAGGTTTAGTGTTGAAATTAAGCTTAGAGTGAGGATTTTCTTAAAGGTAGTTTAAAATGTCATTTTTTTTCCATGTATCACACCTGAACTCTGAAATCCTGTTAGTTGGGTTCTGTAGTTAACTTTAGTACAGTTTTATGTGTGCCTTAATCCTGTGTGATGCTTTGCCTCATTTATCCATATTTCACACTAACATTCAAACATTACTTAGCACTGCTGTGCTTCAACATAAATCTGATCTATAACACTGTGTATAACACTATCTGATCTCACATTATATTTGAGTCACTTTTAAATGTGCTTTTTAATGTTATCTATGCTCTATAGGACATTTTTATTATATTAGCTTTTTATATTTCCATCATTACTTTTAACAGTTTCCATTATAATCCCTCTAATAACTACCATTTTTATTTATTTATAACAACAGCTGCCGCGCAGACTGAATTGATCTCCACTTCAAGTAGGTTTCCTCAGGGACTATTACTATACAAATACTAATCGCCAGCAATTCTCAAAGTTTTCAGTTTAGATTTCAGTTTTCAGTTAAATTCAGAATTTATTTATATATCTAATGACTGAAGACTCTGAAAATATGGAAAGAAACGTTGAATCGATGGAATGAAACTATGTTTCATTTGGTACGTTTAGGAGTAGGTGTAGGTTTAGTTTTGAAGTTAAGATTAGGGTTTGGTTTAGGAGTAGGTGTAGGTTTAGTGTTGAAGTTAAGGCTAGGGTGAGGATTAGGAGCATGTGTAGATTTAGTGTAGGAGTTAAGGTTGGGGTTGGGTTATGGAGTAAGTGTAGGTTTAGAATTGATGTTAATGTTGGGATGAGGATTAGGAGTAGGTGTAGATTTAGTGTAGGAGTTAAGGTTGGGGTTAGGTTAAGGAGTAGGTGTAGATTTAGTTTTGAAGATAAGGTTGGGGTTAGGTTATGGAGTAAGTGTAGGTTTAGAATTGATGTTAATGTTGGGATTAATTAATTTTAGGGTTAATTTTGGGAGTAGGTGTACATTTAGTGTTGAAGTTAAGGTTAGGGTGAGGCTTAGAAGAAGGTGTAGGTTTAGTGTTGAAATTAAGCTTAGAGTGAGGATTTTCTTAAAGGTAGTTTAAAATGTCATTTTTTTTCCATGTATCACACCTGAACTCTGAAATCCTGTTAGTTGGGTTCTGTAGTTAACTTTAGTACAGTTTTATGTGTGCCTTAATCCTGTGTGATGCTTTGCCTCATTTATCCATATTTCACACTAACATTCAAACATTACTTAGCACTGCTGTGCTTCAACATAAATCTGATCTATAACACTGTGTATAACACTATCTGATCTCACATTATATTTGAGTCACTTTTAAATGTGCTTTTTAATGTTATCTATGCTCTATAGGACATTTTTATTATATTAGCTTTTTTATATTTCCATCATTACTTTTAACAGTTTCCATTATAATCCCTCTAATAACTACCATTTTTATTTATTTATAACAACAGCTGCCGCGCAGACTGAATTGATCTCCACTTCAAGTAGGTTTCCTCAGGGACTATTACTATACAAATACTAATCGCCAGCAATTCTCAAAGTTTTCAGTTTAGATTTCAGTTTTCAGTTAAATTCAGAATTTATTTATATATCTAATGACTGAAGACTCTGAAAATATGGAAAGAAACGTTGAATCGATGGAATGAAACTATGTTTCATTTGGTACGTTTAGGAGTAGGTGTAGGTTTAGTTTTGAAGTTAAGATTAGGGTTTGGTTTAGGAGTAGGTGTAGGTTTAGTGTTGAAGTTAAGGCTAGGGTGAGGATTAGGAGCATGTGTAGATTTAGTGTAGGAGTTAAGGTTGGGGTTGGGTTATGGAGTAAGTGTAGGTTTAGAATTGATGTTAATGTTGGGATGAGGATTAGGAGTAGGTGTAGATTTAGTGTAGGAGTTAAGTTTGTGGTTAGGTTAAGGAGTAGGTGTAGATTTAGTTTTGAAGATAAGGTTGGGGTTAGGTTATGGAGTAAGTGTAGGTTTAGAATTGATGTTAATGTTGGGATTAATTAATTTTAGGGTTAATTTTGGGAGTAGGTGTACATTTAGTGTTGAAGTTAAGGTTAGGGTGAGGCTTAGAAGAAGGTGTAGGTTTAGTGTTGAAATTAAGCTTAGAGTGAGGATTTTCTTAAAGGTAGTTTAAAATGTCATTTTTTTTCCATGTATCACACCTGAACTCTGAAATCCTGTTAGTTGGGTTCTGTAGTTAACTTTAGTACAGTTTTATGTGTGCCTTAATCCTGTGTGATGCTTTGCCTCATTTATCCATATTTCACACTAACATTCAAACATTACTTAGCACTGCTGTGCTTCAACATAAATCTGATCTATAACACTGTGTATAACACTATCTGATCTCACATTATATTTGAGTCACTTTTAAATGTGCTTTTTAATGTTATCTATGCTCTATAGGACATTTTTATTATATTAGCTTTTTTATATTTCCATCATTACTTTTAACAGTTTCCATTATAATCCCTCTAATAACTACCATTTTTATTTATTTATAACAACAGCTGCCGCGCAGACTGAATTGATCTCCACTTCAAGTAGGTTTCCTCAGGGACTATTACTATACAAATACTAATCGCCAGCAATTCTCAAAGTTTTCAGTTTAGATTTCAGTTTTCAGTTAAATTCAGAATTTATTTATATATCTAATGACTGAAGACTCTGAAAATATGGAAAGAAACGTTGAATCGATGGAATGAAACTATGTTTCATTTGGTACGTTTAGGAGTAGGTGTAGGTTTAGTTTTGAAGTTAAGATTAGGGTTTGGTTTAGGAGTAGGTGTAGGTTTAGTGTTGAAGTTAAGGCTAGGGTGAGGATTAGGAGCATGTGTAGATTTAGTGTAGGAGTTAAGGTTGGGGTTGGGTTATGGAGTAAGTGTAGGTTTAGAATTGATGTTAATGTTGGGATGAGGATTAGGAGTAGGTGTAGATTTAGTGTAGGAGTTAAGTTTGTGGTTAGGTTAAGGAGTAGGTGTAGATTTAGTTTTGAAGATAAGGTTGGGGTTAGGTTATGGAGTAAGTGTAGGTTTAGAATTGATGTTAATGTTGGGATTAATTAATTTTAGGGTTAATTTTGGGAGTAGGTGTACATTTAGTGTTGAAGTTAAGGTTAGGGTGAGGCTTAGAAGAAGGTGTAGGTTTAGTGTTGAAATTAAGCTTAGAGTGAGGATTTTCTTAAAGGTAGTTTAAAATGTCATTTTTTTTTCCATGTATCACACCTGAACTCTGAAATCCTGTTAGTTGGGTTCTGTAGTTAACTTTAGTACAGTTTTATGTGTGCCTTAATCCTGTGTGATGCTTTGCCTCATTTATCCATATTTCACACTAACATTCAAACATTACTTAGCACTGCTGTGCTTCAACATAAATCTGATCTATAACACTGTGTATAACACTATCTGATCTCACATTATATTTGAGTCACTTTTAAATGTGCTTTTTAATGTTATCTATGCTCTATAGGACATTTTTATTATATTAGCTTTTTTATATTTCCATCATTACTTTTAACAGTTTCCATTATAATCCCTCTAATAACTACCATTTTTATTTATTTATAACAACAGCTGCCGCGCAGACTGAATTGATCTCCACTTCAAGTAGGTTTCCTCAGGGACTATTACTATACAAATACTAATCGCCAGCAATTCTCAAAGTTTTCAGTTTAGATTTCAGTTTTCAGTTAAATTCAGAATTTATTTATATATCTAATGACTGAAGACTCTGAAAATATGGAAAGAAACGTTGAATCGATGGAATGAAACTATGTTTCATTTGTTACATTTAGGAGTAGGTGTAGGTTTAGTTTTGAAGTTAAGATTAGTGTTTGGTTTAGGAGTAGGTGTAGGTTTAGTTTTGAAGTTAAGATTAGGGTTTGGTTTAGGAGTAGGTGTAGATTTAGTTTTGAAGTTAAGATTAGGGTTTGGTTTAGGAGTAGGTGTAGGTTTAGTGTTGAAGTTAAGGCTAGGGTGAGGATTAGGAGCATGTGTAGATTTAGTGTAGGAGTTAAGGTTGGGGTTGGGTTACGGAGTAAGTGTAGGTTTAGAATTGATGTTAATGTTGGGATGAGGATTAGGAGTAGGTGTAGATTTAGTGTAGGAGTTAAGCTTTGTGGTTAGGTTAAGGAGTAGGTGTAGATTTAGTTTTGAAGATAAGGTTGGGGTTAGGTTATGGAGTAAGTGTAGGTTTAGAATTGATGTTAATGTTGGGATTAATTAATTTTAGGGTTAATTTTGGGAGTAGGTGTACATTTAGTGTTGAAGTTAAGGTTAGGGTGAGGCTTAGAAGAAGGTGTAGGTTTAGTGTTGAAATTAAGCTTAGAGTGAGGATTTTCTTAAAGGTAGTTTAAAATGTCATTTTTTTTCCATGTATCACACCTGAACTCTGAAATCCTGTTAGTTGGGTTCTGTAGTTAACTTTAGTACAGTTTTATGTGTGCCTTAATCCTGTGTGATGCTTTGCCTCATTTATCCATATTTCACACTAACATTCAAACATTACTTAGCACTGCTGTGCTTCAACATAAATCTGATCTATAACACTGTGTATAACACTATCTGATCTCACATTATATTTGAGTCACTTTTAAATGTGCTTTTTAATGTTATCTATGCTCTATAGGACATTTTTATTATATTAGCTTTTTTATATTTCCATCATTACTTTTAACAGTTTCCATTATAATCCCTCTAATAACTACCATTTTTATTTATTTATAACAACAGCTGCCGCGCAGACTGAATTGATCTCCACTTCAAGTAGGTTTCCTCAGGGACTATTACTATACAAATACTAATCGCCAGCAATTCTCAAAGTTTTCAGTTTAGATTTCAGTTTTCAGTTAAATTCAGAATTTATTTATATATCTAATGACTGAAGACTCTGAAAATATGGAAAGGAACGTTGAATCGATGGAATGAAACTATGTTTCATTTGTTACGTTTAGGAGTAGGTGTAGGTTTAGTTTTGAAGTTAAGATTAGGGTTTGGTTTAGGAGTAGGTGTAGGTTTAGTGTTGAAGTTAAGGCTAGGGTGAGGATTAGGAGCATGTGTAGATTTAGTGTAGGAGTTAAGGTTGGGGTTGGGTTATGGAGTAAGTGTAGGTTTAGAATTGATGTTAATGTTGGGATGAGGATTAGGAGTAGGTGTAGATTTAGTGTAGGAGTTAAGTTTGTGGTTAGGTTAAGGAGTAGGTGTAGATTTAGTTTTGAAGATAAGGTTGGGGTTAGGTTATGGAGTAAGTGTAGGTTTAGAATTGATGTTAATGTTGGGATTAATTCATTTTAGGGTTAATTTTGGGAGTAGGTGTACATTTCGTGTTGAAGTTAAGGTTAGGGTGAGGCTTAGAAGAAGGTGTAGGTTTAGTGTTGAAATTAAGCTTAGAGTGAGGATTTTCTTAAAGGTAGTTTAAAATGTCATTTTTTTTCCATGTATCACACCTGAACTCTGAAATCCTGTTAGTTGGGTTCTGTAGTTAACTTTAGTACAGTTTTATGTGTGCCTTAATCCTGTGTGATGCTTTGCCTCATTTATCCATATTTCACACTAACATTCAAACATTACTTAGCACTGCTGTGCTTCAACATAAATCTGATCTATAACACTGTGTATAACACTATCTGATCTCACATTATATTTGAGTCACTTTTAAATGTGCTTTTTAATGTTATCTATGCTCTATAGGACACTTTTATTATATTCACTTTTTTATATTTCCATCATTACTTTTAACACTTTCCATTATATTCCCTCTAATAATTACCATTTTCTTGTTTGTTTATAATAACACGCTGCCACTCAGACTGAACTGATCTCCACTTCAAGTAGGTTTCCAGAGGGACTATTACTATACAAATACTATCACCAGCACTTCTCAAAGTTTCAGTTTAGTTTCAGTTTTCAGTTAAATCAGAATTATTTATATATCTAATGACTGAAGACTCTGAATACATGGAAAGAACATTGAATCGATGGAATGAAACTATGTTTCATTCATTACGTTTAGGAGTTGATGTACGTTTAGTGTTGAATTGAAGGTGAGGGTTACTTTTAGGAGTAGGTGTAGGATTACGATTGAAATGAATGTTAGGAGTAGGTGTAGGTTTAGTTTTGACGTTAAGGCTAGGGTGAGATTTAGAAGAAGGTGTAGGTTGCCACTAGGACTGAATTGACTTCCACTCCAAGTTTTTTTTTTGTTTTGTTTTTTTTTCGTTTAGGTATATCTAATGACTGAAGACTCTGAATATATGGAATGAAATATTGAATCAATGGAATGAAACTTTGTTTAATTTGTTATGTTTAGGAGTAAGTGTAGGTTTAGTTTTGAATTTAATGTTAGGGTTTGGTTTAGGAGTAGATGTAGGTTTAGTGTTAAATTTAAGATCAGGTTTAGGTTTAGGAGTAGGTGTAGGTTTAGTTTTGAAGTTAAGGCTAGGGTGAGGATTAGGAGCATGTGTAGATTTAGTGTAGGAGTTAAGGTTGGGGTTGGGTTACGGAGTAAGTGTAGGTTTAGAATTGATGTTAATGTTGGGATGAGGATTAGGAGTAGGTGTACATTTAGTGTAGGAGTTAAGTTTGTGGTTAGGTTAAGGAGTAGGTGTAGATTTAGTTTTGAAGATAAGGTTGGGGTTAGGTTATGGAGTAAGTGTAGGTTTAGAATTGATGTTAATGTTGGGATTAATTAATTTTAGGGTTAATTTTGGGAGTAGGTGTACATTTAGTGTTGAAGTTAAGGTTAGGGTGAGGCTTAGAAGAAGGTGTAGGTTTAGTGTTGAAATTAAGCTTAGAGTGAGGATTTTCTTAAAGGTAGTTTAAAATGTCATTTTTTTTCCATGTATCACACCTGAACTCTGAAATCCTGTTAGTTGGGTTCTGTAGTTAACTTTAGTACAGTTTTATGTGTGCCTTAATCCTGTGTGATGCTTTGCCTCATTTATCCATATTTCACACTAACATTCAAACATTACTTAGCACTGCTGTGCTTCAACATAAATCTGATCTATAACACTGTGTATAACACTATCTAATCTCACATTATATTTGAGTCACTTTTAAATGTGCTTTTTAATGTTATCTATGCTCTATAGGACATTTTTATTATATTAGCTTTTTTATATTTCCATCATTACTTTTAACAGTCTCCATTATAATCCCTCTAATAACTACCATTTTTATTTATTTATAACAACAGCTGCCGCGCAGACTGAATTGATCTCCACTTCAAGTAGGTTTCCTCAGGGACTATTACTATACAAATACTAATCGCCAGCAATTCTCAAAGTCAGTTTAGATTTCAGTTTTCAGTTAAATTCAGAATTTATTTATATATCTAATGACTGAAGACTCTGAAAATATGGAAAGAAACGTTGAATCGATGGAATGAAACTATGTTTCATTTGTTACGTTTAGGAGTAGGTGTAGGTTTAGTTTTGAAGTTAAGATTAGGGTTTGGTTTAGGAGTAGGTGTAGGTTTAGTGTTGAAGTTAAGGCTAGGGTGAGGATTAGGAGCATGTGTAGATTTAGTGTAGGAGTTAAGGTTGGGGTTGGGTTATGGAGTAAGTGTAGGTTTAGAATTGATGTTAATGTTGGGATGAGGATTAGGAGTAGGTGTAGATTTAGTGTAGGAGTTAAGTTTGTGGTTAGGTTAAGGAGTAGGTGTAGATTTAGTTTTGAAGATAAGGTTGGGGTTAGGTTATGGAGTAAGTGTAGGTTTAGAATTGATGTTAATGTTGGGATTAATTCATTTTAGGGTTAATTTTGGGAGTAGGTGTACATTTAGTGTTGAAGTTAAGGTTAGGGTGAGGCTTAGAAGAAGGTGTAGGTTTAGTGTTGAAATTAAGCTTAGAGTGAGGATTTTCTTAAAGGTAGTTTAAAATGTCATTTTTTTTCCATGTATCACACCTGAACTCTGAAATCCTGTTAGTTGGGTTCTGTAGTTAACTTTAGTACAGTTTTATGTGTGCCTTAATCCTGTGTGATGCTTTGCCTCATTTATCCATATTTCACACTAACATTCAAACATTACTTAGCACTGCTGTGCTTCAACATAAATCTGATCTATAACACTGTGTATAACACTATCTCATCTCACATTATATTTGAGTCACTTTTAAATGTGCTTTTTAATGTTATCTATGCTCTATAGGACACTTTTATTATATTCACTTTTTTATATTTCCATCATTACTTTTAACACTTTCCATTATATTCCCTCTAATAATTACCATTTTCTTGTTTGTTTATTTACTTTTACCTCTTTTTCAGATGTTAACACCATCATGCCAACCTCAAAAATAACAACGGCTGCCACTCAGACTGAACTGATCTCCACTCCAAGTAGGTTTCCAGAGGGACTATTACTATACAAATACTATTCACCAGCACTTCTCAAAGTTTTTTTCTTTTTTTTTCCCGTTTAGGAAATTATTTATATATCTAATGACTGAAGACTCTGAATACATGGAAAGAACATTGAATCGATGGAATGAAACTATGTTTCATTCATTACGTTTAGGAGTAGGTTTAGTGTTGAATTTAAGGTTAGGGTTAGTTTTAGGAGTTGATGTACGTTTAGTGTTGAATTGAAGGTGAGGGTTACTTTTAGGAGTAGGTGTAGGATTACGATTGAAATGAATGTTAGGAGTAGGTGTAGGTTTAGTTTTGACGTTAAGGCTAGAGTGAGATTTAGAAGAAGGTGTAGGTTGCCACTAGGACTGAATTGACTTCCACTCCAAGTTTTCGTTTAGGTATATCTAATGACTGAAGACTCTGAATATATGGAACGAAATATCGAATCAATGGAATGAAACTTTGTTTAATTTGTTATGTTTAGGAGTAAGTGTAGGTTTAGTTTTGAATTTAATGTTAGGGTGAGGTTTAGGAGTAGATGTAGGTTTAGTGTTAAATTTAAGATCAGGTTTAGTTTTAGGAGTAGGTGTAGGTTCAGTTTTGAAGTTAAGTTTAGGGTGAGGATTTGGAGTAGGTGTAGTTTTAATGTTGAAGTTAACATCAGGGTTAGGTTAAGGAGTATGTTGAAATTTAGTGTTGAAGATAAGTTTGGGTTAGGTTTAGGAGTAAGTGTAAGTTTACAGTTGAATTTAAGATTAGGGTGAGGTTTCGGAGTAAGTGTATGTTTAGAGTTCAAGTTTAGTTTTGGGTGAGGATTTGGAGTCGGTGTAATTTTAATTTTGAAGTTAATATTGGGGTTAGGTTAAGGAGTAAGTGTAGTCAGTTGAAGTTTAGGGTGATGTTTGAAGAGGCTAAGTACACATCACAGGATTAAAGTGATTCCAAACAGGTCATGTGTAAACGTGACATAGAGGTCTATTTATTGAGAGCTGTATGAACACTAATCTCACATTATATTTCAGTCACTTTTAGATGTACTTTTTAACGTTATCTGTGCTCTATAGGACACTTTTATTATATTAGCTTTTTTATATTTCCATCATTACTTTTAACAGTCTACATTATAATCCCTCTAATAACTACCATTTTTATTTATTTATAACAACAGCTGCCGCGCAGACTGAATTGATCTCCACTCCAAGTAGGTTTCCTCGGGGACTATTACTATACAAATACTAATCGCCAGCAATTCTCAAAGTTTTTTTTTTTTTTTTTTCAGTTTAGATTTCAGTTTTCAGTTAAATTCAGAATTTATTTATATATCTAATGACTGAAGACTCTGAAATATGGAAAGAAACGTTGAATCGATGGAATGAAACTATGTTTCATTTGTTACGTTTAGGAGTAGGTGTAGGTTTAGTTTTGAAGTTAAGATTAGGGTTTGGTTTAGGAGTAGGTGTAGGTTTAGCCTTGAAGTTAAGGCTAGGGTGAGGATTAGGAGCATGTGTAGATTTAGTGTAGGAGTTAAGGTTGGGGTTGGGTTAATCTAATCTCAAATTATATTTGAGTCACTTTTAAATGTGCTTTTTAATGTTATCTATGCTCTGTAGGACATTTTTATTATATTCGCTTTTTTATATTTCCACCTTTACTTTTAACACTCTCCATTATATTCCCTCTAATAATTACCATTTTTTTGTTTGTTTATTTACTTTTACTTCTTTTCAGATGTTAACACCATCATACCAACCTCAAAAATAACAACGGCTGCCACTCAGACTGAACTGATCTCCACTCCAAGTAGGTTTCCAGAGGGACTATTACTATACAAATACTATTCACCAGCACTTCTCAAAGTCCCTGTTTAGGAAATTATTTATATATCTAATGACTGAAGACTCTGAAAATATGGAAAGAAACGTTGAATCGATGGAATGAAACTATGTTTCATTTGTTACGTTTAGGAGTAGGTGTAGGTTTAGTTTTGAAGTTAAGATTAGGGTTTGGTTTAGGAGTAGGTGTAGGTGTAGCGTTGAACTTAAAGTTAGGGTGAGGATTAGGAGTAGATGTATGTTTAGTGTTGAATTTAAGGGTTATCTGGGTTAGTTTTAGGAGTAGGTCTAGGTTTAGGATTGAAGTTAATGTCAGCGAACATTCAGGAGTAAGTGTAGGTTTAGTGCTGAAGATAAGGTTAAAGTGAGGTTTAGAAGTAGATATAGATTTAGGGTTGAAGTTATGTTCAATAATTGTTCATATATCTAATGACTGAAGACTCTGAATATAGGGAATGAAACACTGATTCGATGAAAAGAAACCATGTTTCATTCGTTACGTTTAGGAGTAGGTCTAGGTTTAGTATTGTAGTTAAGTTTAGGATGAGGATTAGGAGTAGGTGTAGTTTCAATGTTGAAGTTAACTTTAGGTTTAGGTTAAGGAGTATGTTTAAATTTAGTGTTGAAGATGAGGTTGGGGTTAGATTTAGGAGTAAGTGTAGGTTTGGTGTTGAAGTTAGGGTGAGGATTATGAGTAGGTGTAGATTTAGCGTTGAATTTAAGTTTAGGTGAGGTTTAGGAGTAAGTGTATGTTTAGAGTTGAAGTTAAGGTTGGGGTGAGGATTAGGAGTAGGTGTAGATTTAATGTAGGAGGTAATGTTGGGGTTAGGTTAAGCAGTAGGTGTAGATTTTGTTTTGAAGATAAGGTTGGGGTTGTCTTTTGTATCTCAAATTATATTTGAGTCACTTTTAAATGTGCTTTTTAACGTTATCTATGCTCTATAAGACACTTTTATTATATTAGCTTTTTATATTTCCATCATGACTTTTAACACTCTCCATTATAATCCCTCCAATAACTACCGTTTTTTTTTTATTCATTTACTTTTACCTCTTTTCAGATGTTAACACCATCACACCAACCTCAAAAATAACAACGGCTGCTGCTCAGACTGAGCTGATCTCCACTCCAAGTAGGTTTCCAGAGGGACTTTTACTTTACAAACACTATTCACCAGCAATTCTCAAATCCGTTTAGGAAATTATTCATGTGTCTAATGACTGAAGACTCTGAATGTATGGAAAGAAACGTTGAATCGATGGAATGAAACTATGTTTCATTTGTTACGTTTAGGAGTAGGTGTAGGTTTAGTTTTGAAGTTAAGTTCAGGATGAGGATGAGGAGGAGGTGTAGGTTTAATGTTAAAGTAATGGTTAGGTTTAGATTAAGGAATAGGTTTAAATTAAGTGTTAAAGGTATGTTTAGTTGTGTAACCAGAATTTTAGCTCTTGTTAAAATTGTACTTACTCTTCCATTTTACCATTTTGTCTGTCAGCATTTCTCAGTATGTGCTATTGTACTAGTCTAGGCTAAACAAAAGAATATAAATTAAAAAACAGGCTTAAAGACTTAAGGTATAGCTCAGTCACTTTTCTCACATCTCTGGCAGGATAGTTTCCCGCAAAAGTGGAGTAGTTTCTTGTAAAATGTCTTTCAGCATTCAATTTTTTAATGAAGCTGAAGTCTGCTTCTTATTCACCAGCTTCTTTTTTTAAATTTCCTGTTCCACGTTAAATGGTGCCTGAGATGCCAAAATGTAATCCTGCACCATTTAAGGTGGAATAGGATAATCCAACCAAGAAGCTGACTTCAGCCTTAATGACTTTTTAGCATTTGACAGTTTCTCATTGCAGATTAAATGTATCAGGAAATCAGCCAGAGTGATTATAAATGCTAATAAATCCATTTGTCTCCAAATTATCGACATTTGTCTAAAATCTCACTCTTTGACTTTTCGTTAGCTAGTAGCTAAGCAAGACTGTTGTCTGCATTGCTATGGAGACAAGCAGTCTCTGTGCCTTCAGGCTTAAAGGATGAATTAGCAGATATACAATAACTCCAGACCATTTATTGTTAAACCTGTGTTAGAACAATCAGTAGAGCCTTATTTTACTGCAAAGGAGAATTATTTTATTTTGACCTAAAAATCTAATTCTGCTGTGGAGACGCAACAGGGCAGTAAAAAGGCTGCATGTTGCCAACACTACTTTAAGCTAAGTGGGTTAAGTGGGTAAAAGTGACACAAATCAGGTTGTGTGTAAATGTGACATGGACGTGTTTTTATTCAGAGCTGTGTGAACACTGATCACATCATATTAGATGTGCTTTAGAGCAAATGCATGTCTGATGTTTGTTAAGCATATGAATGTTATCCATATTCAATAGGAGACTTTTACTGTTTTAGCATTTTTCATGACAGTTGCTATCGACAATCCTCATTTTGATCCCCGTAACAATGACAGTTTTTTTTTTTTACTTCTTCTCAGATCTGAGCACCTTCACATCAATCTATACCACATCAGTTGTCGCCACTAGTCCTGAACTGACCAACACTCCAAGTAGGTTTCCAGAGGGACTCTGAATTTTTATTTTAACCTTTAAATAACTCACAGACCAAATCAGTACTCTAGTGGATCACATTTGTTGAGATTTTGGTTATAATGTTAATTGACAATATCAGGTTAGAAAGGTGCACAGACACCCTTAGACTGCAACATGACCATATACATGTCTGCTTAATTTTATATTAAAAAAAGCCACTAAAAATCTGAATATATGGAATGAAAGTCTGAATACATTAAAGGAATATGGAATGAAATCTGACGTCGTCAAGGCACTAAAGCCATCTTGTGTTTTCGGTGTGTGAGATTCTGTATGGATGCAAGCAGTGCCTCACCAAGACTGAGTCAACACAAAATCTAGTAGCAGAAGTTCTAAAGAGTGAGGACATAATTAATACCCTCATTTATTGTTAATCAGGCAAACGTTAATGCAGGAAGAAACCTGCCTTTCACCTCAGAGGAGCTCCCACAACCTAAAATCCTCGCCCGTTCACAAGTTCAAAGTTGAATTTAAGATTGGGGTTAGGTTTAGGAGTAGGTGTAGGTTTAGCGATTGAAGTTAAGGTTAGGGTTAGTTCTAGGAGTAGGTGTAGGTTTAGCGATTAAGCGATTTAGCGATATTGTTAAGTTTATTTGGTATAGTTTGCTAAAATCCCACTTTTACAGCCTGTAAGTTGCTTTAAGTCATAACACCAAAATCTTACTGTGTTGTTTCAGCCTAAAGGCTGCTGTTACTGTAGCCGGATATAGGCTGGAATGTGTGAAATTGTTTGTGCCAATTATGAAATACTTCTATATAACCACAACATCAGTCAGTGAAGTCATTCATGTTTCTTGAGGAAAGATGTAAGTGTGGAAGAATGCACAGTAAACAATAATAAAATGTATTTTTAAAATAAATGTAAATAAAAATAAATTCCCCCTAGTGCCCTAAGTTTGAGAGAACTCAGAAGACAGTGGAATATGTTGACATATATATGTGGTGTTCTGTGATTTTGGGTATAAAGCAGTAAGGACTGTTCAGAGAATAATTGCTTCTAATGATTCTGTTTCCACAACAGACACTGCAAACAACATCACTTCTGACCCCTGCAGTCTCAACAGTGTTCTTGATAATGACTGGAGAAGAACAGAAAGTAGGTTTTACACCAACTACAGTAATGATGACACTCTTGTTGAGTGGAGCGGCTGGTATCGTCTGAATCTTCAAGGAAAAAGTGCTCAGATTCCTGAATCTGATTGGTGTTGGAGTTTTATGTCCTGTGGTGGTTACACTGCACTTTTACTTGGTGGATCTCATCCCCAACTACAGGACGGCATCGTCACCCGAGACATCTATGGAACCTCAGTTGACAGCAGACGATGCAATTCCTACAGATCAAACTCAATCCAAGTCAAAGCCTGTCCAGAAAATTACTACGTCTACAGACTCGTCAAGCCAGCTGGGTCACTTCCCATACCCACATACTGTGCAGGTAAAGTCTGCAGCTTCCTATGTTGTTTATTCATAAATAATACATAATGAATGTACAGCTGATATGATGAGTGTCTTAAGGTAAGTTCTAATTCAAAAAGCAATGTTAAAGTCTCCTTAATAGTCTGCTCATAACACTTCTCCTTAAGCTGGTGAAAGTAGGCTAGAGTTCAAGGCACCTTTCGATAGAGGAACTATTATTATTATTGTTATTATTTATTTATTAATAATAATATATAATATATAATTTATTATATATTAATTAATCAATCAAACAATCCACCAATCAATTAATTAAATAATTATTTGAATTATTATTTTAACATTCTATTTTTTTTATAATCCAATCTTAATTGGGAACTCCACCGATTTTACAAAATTACTTTATCATTCAATGGATTAGATGTGAACAAAATCATTCAGAGTGGTTTGATGTGAAATGTGCCTTTCTAGAGAGATTTAGTCAGAATTGTTCACCATTACACTACTAGGAACCAAACATCTGAAGCATTTAAATGCCTTTCTGATATTTGTAATGGCTACCAAAAAACACACTGTGTTATTTTCTTATTTATTTTTCTTAGTTATTTTGTTATCTTGGTACAGCGCAGTTCACCACCACTCTGAACAATTAACCAGCAAGGTGCAACTGTGATCTGTTCCAGCTCCACTGATGATTAAGCTACTCACATAAGCTCTGAGTTTCGTTGACACCATGTGACGCAACGCTGGCAACACAAACAAAACAAAACGCAGGCAGGGCAAAGAGGTACATGCAGGGTCTTGTCAGGAAAAAATAGTACCTAAAGAAAATATTTGTTAAAAAAAAAAATTAACAGTATTTTCTTATTATCAGCATGACATATAAAACATATAAGACACAAATCGGTAAAGTTTCCCTTTAACTAGAAATAAGTTTTAGTTTGGTCTATTGTACACTTAAACAGCACAGTCAAAACAAATGAACATAATAGACTATAATAGACAAGCACATACTGGTCTATTATGTGCTATAATAGACTAGCACATATAGTATAACTATAATGACTATAATAGACTAACTATTGACTGTAATAGACTAGCACTAAAAATACATACACACACACACACACACACACACACACACACACACATATATATATATATATAAAACACAAGCAGTACATTTATTTTCTAATTTAGTGGGGAAATTGCAGGTCGTGTAATTAGTTTAGGCCAGGTTCATATTGCACGATTAAAGTGTCATGACCTTTCTTGTTATTTAACGTATATATTTCTCTTTAAATGTTCACCTGTTTATAGTTGCCATGGAGACTCCCAGTTACGATCCCTGTAACAACTACACATCTCTGGATCAACCCTGGAGGGCCACTAATGAGACTGGAGGGTACAACTGTGATAGAAACTTCAACTGGACTGGCTGGTATCGGCTGCTGTATAATGGGATGAACATCCGTATGCCAGACAGCTGTGTTAACATAGTCAGATGTGGTACTTTTTTCACTCTCTGGCTGAATGGATCTCACCCTCAGATAGAGGATGGAATAGTCACTCGTAGAGTCTGTGTGAGTTTTGGAAGGGAGGACTGCTGTTACTTCAGATCCACCCCAATTCGGGTCAAAGCATGTCCAGGAAACTATTATGTCTATGAGTTTGTCAGGCCATTCATCTGTACTGCAGCTTACTGTGCAGGTACTCTGACTGTTTTATACATTTCCAGTGGTTTTCACTATTATTTTTGTCTTACATTGTATATGTGTAGTTTATCAGCTCCATTTTAACTGGAAAATATTAAAGAAATTTGAAATTTAACCGATGTAAATTTAGCCTAAGAAAACAATAACCCTTGTTTTTTGTTTTGTTTTGTTTTGTTTTGTTTTTTAAGTAACTTCACAGCTGTTGGCACCTCTGCTTTTAGTATAACCTTCGTAAAACCTCCCTTTGCCAGCTAACACTAATGAGTCTTCTGCTGTAAGGTTTAATATGATTGCAGTAAAAGTCCTTAGAAGTTCTTAGAAACAAAATGAAATAAACTTTTTTTTAATTGTAAAATATAAAAATCAATATAAAAACATTGTAAACAAATTATTTAAAGTGCTACTTATCATTTGAGAGAAACTTCATCTTTAACGTCATTTTTTTCAATGTTTGTTTTTTAACTTCTTTTCAGATGTGAACACCATCATGTCAGTCTCTACCACAACAGCTGCCATTAGCACTGAACTGACCACAACTCCAAGTAGGTTTACAGAGGAACATTTTAAACTTTAAAAAAATCTCAGACCAAATCAGCACAGTAGAGGTTCAGATCATTTGTTCAGTACATCATTTGTTGTTATTGGTCCAAGGCCACTGTATCATAATGCTTTAGTAGAATTATAATAAGCTTTTGTTAATTCTATATTAGAGTGAATAAATCCAGACATGGTGGCTTAAACACAAACACCTTTTTAAACACAATGTCAAATAAAATTATTAATATAAAGCACATTATTTGTAAACAAACTACTGTGGCAAGACATTCTGCTGCCTTTGCTGTACATGAGTAAGAAACCACTCTGGATTGACACCATGTAATGGGGGTAGTGTATGTTCATTTCAGTTCATTTATTAACTTCAGCAGTCATCTTGACCAAAGGTGCCAATAATTGTGGGGGGCCCTGCCCTCCACAATTATTGGCAGTCTTGGTAAAAATAAATAAAAGGGGTTATAAGAAATCCACCAATTGGTGAAACAGTTCAATTCTCACTCTGAAAAAAAAACACATTTAATTGAATTAAATTTATTCTGAGAGAAAAAAAGAAATCTACCCTCAAGAAATCATCAAAACCCCAAAAGATTAATTGTATATTGGTTGATTCATCATCAAACTCTGACACAATGTACAGTGCTATGAAAAAGTATTTGCCCTTCACCCAATTTCTTCTTTTTTTGCTAATTTGTCACATTTAAATGTTTCAGACAACCCAACTAATTTTAATACAAGATAAAGAAAGACAACATGAGTAAACACAAAATGCAGCTTTTAAATGATGATTCCTTTTACTGAAGATGAAGATTTGTTCAAAACTTATACCACCCATGTGAAAAAATAATTGCCTCCCAAACCTAATAACTGGCTTTGCCACCTTCGGCAGTGACATCTGCAATCAAACCGTTTCAAGCATGAACTGCTCATTTAAGGTCTTGCCACAGCATCTAAATAGGATTCAAGTCAGGACTTCCTCAATTTCCTCAATTTTCTTTCTTTTGAGACCATTAGAGCTGGACTTGGGGGTCGACTAGACGTTTTTCAGGAAATGTGAGACGAGCCTGTATGTTATTTTTTGATCAGCTGTGGTTTGCGCCTTGTACCTCTCCCATGGATGCCATTTTTGCCCAGTGTCTTTCTTACTGTGGAATCGAGTACATTGACCTTAACTGAGGCAGGTGATGCCTGCAGTTCTTTATATCTTCGTCTGCTTTCTTTTGGGACTTCCTGAATGTGTCATTGCCCTTGGTGAAATTTTGGTAGGCCGGCCACTCCTAGGTTGATTCAGCACTGTCTCAAGTTTTCTCCAGTGGTGGATATTGGCTCTTACTGTGGTTCTCTGGAGTCCCAGAGTCTTAGCAATGGTTTTGTAGCCCTTTCCAGACTGGTAGATTTCAAAGACTTTGTTTCGCATCTATATTTGAATCTTTTTAGAATTTGGCATCATGTGCTCCTTTTTGAGACTGTCTAACCTGCATCACATTACCAGGCAGGTTCTATTTAAGTGATGTTTAGATTCAACAGGTCTGGCATTTATCATGCCTGGATGTCGCTCGTGAAATTGAGCCCAGTAGTCAATGCCTAAGGAGGCAATTGCTTTTTCACACAGGGACTGGTAGGGCTGAACAGCATTTTTTTTCCTTCAATAAACAAAATCATCATTTAAAAAGATTTTTTTTTGTTAACTTCGGTTATCTTTGTCTAAAATTAAAGGTAACTTGATGATCTGAAACATGCAAATGTATCAAATATGCAACAATTGAAGAAATTGGGAAGTGGCAAATAGTTTTTCACTGCACTGTAAAGGAAGTTTGTGTTTTCAAACTGACAAAATGAAGATAAATAAACTTTGCATTTCTTTCACATTGATGCTTATTTTATTGGTTCAACAACAGTTACTTTTAATGATCCCTGCTACAACTACACTGCTCTGGATCAAACCTGGAGAGCCACTAATGCAACTGGGCTGAACATCTGTGACAGATACTTCAACTGGAATGGCTGGTATCGGCTGCTGTATTATGGGATGAGTGTCCGTATGCCAGACAGCTGTGTTAATCAGTCCAGATGTGGTACTAATATCAGTCTGTGGCTGAATGGTTTTCATCCTCAGATAAAGGATGGAATAGTCACTCGTGGAGTCTGTGGGGGTTCAGGAAGTGACTGTTGTTACTACAGATCCACCCCAATTCGAGTTAAAGCCTGTCCAGGAAACTATTATGTCTATGAGTTTGGGAAGCCAAATGTTTGTGATGCTGCTTACTGTGCAGGTACTTTATTTACATAATAAGCTTTAGACTGTGTTTCTAAGAGTGCTGCTCATGTTCGTGTCAATGTTTATTTTTATTCAGGTGTGAACACCGTCACTACGAACACCGCCCTGACAAGTGCGCCCAGTGTTGCTGCACCAAATACAACCCCATTTCCAAAAAACGTTGGGACGCTGTGCAGAATATAAATAAAAGTAGAATGATTTGCAAATCATGTAAACCATATTTTTAATGGAAAATAATAAAAAGACAAAACATCAAATGTTGAAACTGGGAAATTGTATTTTTTTTAGAAAAAAATATATATGCACATTTTGAATTTGATGCCAGTGACGTTCCAAAAAAGTTGGGATGGGGGCCTCTTTACCACTGTGCTCAATCACCTCTTCTTTTAACAACACTCCCATTTGAAAACTGAGGAGACACTGCTGTAGTTTTGAAAATGAAATGATTTCCCATTCTTGTTTGATACACAATTCAGCTGCTCATCAGTTCAGCGTCTCCTTTGTCATATTTTACATTTCATAATACACCAAATGTTTTCAGTAAGGTACAGCTGGCAGCATTTCTGGATCCTGCTCATGTATGGTTTCTTCTTTGCATTTTAGAGTTTTAACTTGCATGTGTGGATGCAGTGACCAACTGTTTTTACTGGCAGTGGTTTTCAGAAGTGTTTCTGAGCCCATGCAGTAATTTGCACTGCAGTTTTTAATGCAGTTATGTTATGTATCATAGATGATGCAAAGCATTGAGAAACATTATTCTTGAATTGTTGCACTATTTGCCCGCACAGTCTTGTGTGGTGTGGACCCCTCCTCATCTTTACTTCTGAAAGATTCAGCCTCTCTGAAATGCTCATTTTATACCCAATCATGTTACTGACCTGTTACCAATCAACCACCAGGTGTTTATTTATTTATTTATTTATTTTTTTATATCATTACACAACTTTACCAGCCTTTTCTTGCCCCGTCCCAGTGTTATTGGAATGTGTTGCTGGCATCAAATTCAAAATTGAAATGTGTTTTTCAAAAAACTATGAAATTTCTCCGTTTCAAATTTTGAAATGCTGTCTTTGTACTTTTCTCAACGAAATACAGGGTTTAAATGTTTTGCACATCATTGCATTTTGTTTTTATTTACATTTGCACAGCATCTCAATTTATTTGAAAATGGGGTTGCAAAAACACTAGTAGGTCTTCAAAAGATCTAGAAGTATTTTAACTCTGGAATTCCTTCTTGTCTAAATAATTAATGATGGCTTTAAGGATATACACTACGTAAGTATTAAGGATGCTAAACTATAATACATAATATCAATACAGGCCACTGGTAAATACAACTCAGTAATCACTGGCCAGTCAGCCACTATCAGTCTGTGCACATTTTCAATATAATAGAATAGATATGGTATAATAGAAATGTGCCACAGATTGTCCCTGCATCTTTCTGTAGTGACCCGTGTCTGCAAGAAATGTCATAACACTACAGCAAAGCCTTTTTAAATTGGAGACAGTGAAGATATCATATCTATTATGTTGCACCAACAAGGATTAAATAAACAGAGTTCAGAGCTAATGAAGCATTTGTTAAACTAAGTTTTACTTTAAATTGAGCTGTTATTGCAAGACTTAATTTTAAACATGGATTAACAAATCTGCCATTAAATACTTGTTCTGCTGAAAATCATAAACTGCTATTATTTTGATTGTCCACCATTTTGGATTTTGCAGTATAAAAAAATAACAACATTACAGTACCAGGACTATGAGTTCAGAAAATTTCTAACTAAACCAAGAAGTTTGAGTTGAGTGAACTCTAGTCTGTTAAAATAAAGCATATCAAATAAGCAAAAATAGGGTAGAGTATTTAAACATCATTATTTCATTATGATCATCATTATCATTTTAAACATCAAGCATATTCATGTTTTATAATATTCAGTCTTTTTGAGTGGTGTCCTGTGATATTGAGTATAAGGCAGTGAGGATTGTGCAGAAAATAATTGCTTCATATGATTCTTTTTTCACAACAGACACTGCAAACAGCATGACTTCTGACCCCTGCAGTGTCTACAGTGTTCTTGATGATGAATGGAGGAGAACAAAACTTCATGATTATAATAACTACTATGGTTATGATGACACCCTTCTTGAGTGGAGCGGCTGGTATCATCTGAAACTGCAGGGAACAAGTGCTCAGATTCCTGAATCTGATTTGTGTTGGAGTTATATGTCCTGTGGTGGTTACACTGCACTTTTACTTGGTGGATCTCATCCCCGCCTACAGGACGGCATCGTTACACGAGAAATCTATGGAACCTCTGTCTATTCTAATGATAGTAGGCAATGTAATTCCTACAGATCAAACCCAATCCAAGTCAAAGCCTGCCCAGGAAATTATTACGTCTACAGACTCGTCAAGCCAGCTTTATCAATTCCAATGCCCACATACTGTGCAGGTAAACTCTGCAGGTTCCTATATTGTTTATTCATAATGAGTGCACAGCTGATATGATCAGTAACTTTAGGTGAATTTTAATTTAAAAAGTAATTTACAGGTGTCCTGCAAAGTCTGTTTAAAAATGTATTCTTGAGCTGCTGAGGGTAGACTATATATATATATATATATATATATATATATATATATATATATATATATATATATATATACATACATACATACATACATGCACACACACATTCGTCATGAAATTCTGATAAAATGTGAAAAATGACACAAATGGAGATAAAAGCTTTTGTCTCAACAGTAGCGATCTATAAATAAACTTTCTTTGCCGCTGATGCATATTTTATTGATTTCAGTTGTTTTTAATGATCCCTGCTACAACTACACTGCTCTGGATCAACCCTGGAGAGCCACTAATGCAGCTGGACTGCGGATCTGTGACAGCAACTTCAACTGGAATGGCTGGTATCGGCTGCTGTATTATGGGATGAGCATCCGTATGCCAGAGAGCTGTGTTAATAGATACAGATGTGATACATATTATAGTCTGTGGCTGAATGAATCTCACCCTCAGATAGATGATGGAATAGTCACTCGTGGGGTCTGTGGGGGTTCAGGACGTGACTGTTGTTCTTACAGTTCCACCCCAATTCGAGTTAAAGCCTGTCCAGGAAACTATTACATCTATGAATTTGTGAAGCCAAATGTTTGTGATGCTGCTTACTGTGCAGGTACTTTATTTGCATTATAAGATTTAGACTGTGTATTTTATAGTGTTGCCAAAGTTTATTCATGTTTGTGTCAATGTTTATTTTTATTCAGATGTGAACACCGTCACTACGAACACCGCCCTGACAAGTGCGCCCAGTGTTGCTGCATCAAATACAAACACTAGTAGGTCTTCAAAAGATTTAAAAATATTTTACATTTGGAATTCTTTCTTGTCTAAATAAAGAATAATGGTTTATGGATCCACCACAGCAAAGCCTGGAGTCAATGAAGATGATTGTGTTCTTGTTGGAAACTTGCCAAGTTGCTAAGCTAACTTTGTTCTAGCGTTGGTGTATTCTGATAAAATACCAATTTTTCAGCCTATTAATTGCTTTACAAGAGTGATTTATGAGAGATGGCATGTTTTCTGATAGGTAAATCATCCACTTGATAACCATCATAATAGATATGGTTGAAACATTATTAACGGTACCTTGAGCCACTTAGGGTGGGTTGCACCAACAAGGATTAAATAAACAGAGTTTAAACCTAATCAAGCATTCGTTACTCTACCTTTTTTTTAATTTAGATTGAGCTGTTGTTGCACCACTTAATTTTAAACATGGATTAACAAATCTGCCATTAAAATGTCTGCTGAAAATCATAAACTGCCATTATTTTGAACTTGACATATACCTGTGTTTTGATTGGTGTTCTGTGATTTAGAGTATAAGGCAGTGCAGATTGTGCAGAAAAGAATTGCTTCTTATGATTCCGTTTCCACAGCAAACACTGCAAACAACATCACGTCTGACCCCTGCAGTGTCTACAGTGTTCTTGATAATGACTGGAGAAGAACAGAAAGTAGATTCTACACCAGCTACGGTGGCTTTGATGACACTCTTGTTGAATGGAGTGGCTGGTATCGTCTGAATCTTCAGGGAAAAAGTGCTCAGATTCCTGAATCTGATTGGTGTTGGAGTTCTATGTCCTGTGGTGGTTACACTGCACTTTTACTTGGTGGATCTCATCCTGTACCACAGGACGGCATCGTCACCCGAGACATCTATGGAACCTATGTCTATTCTAATAATAGTAGACAATGTAATTCCTACAGGTCAAACTCAATCCAAGTCAAAGCCTGTCCAGGAAATTACTACGTCTACAGACTCGTCAAGCCAGCTTTATCAATTCCAATGCCCACATACTGTGCAGGTAAAGTCTGCAGTTTCCTGTATTGTTCATTCATACAGCTGATATGATCAGTATCTTACGGTTAATTTTAATTTAAACAGTAATTTCTAGGTCTCCTACAAAGTCTGTTTAAAAATGTCTTCTTAATCTGGTGAGAGTAAATTTTTATTATTATTATTATTATTATTATTATTTATGAATTATTATGAAACGTCTCACAGGTTCTAGATCAGGCCTGTGGGCCTTGTGTTTGACACATGGCTACTAGATTGTCAATATTAGAGGGAATGTATTTATGTGTTATAATGTATTTACCTGGAACTTCAAAAGAACAGAATAAACAGACTGTGAGTAGGAGACCAGGTCACTCAAACTGAAGAGTCTTAAATAGTATGGATCTATTACCTAGATACTAAACTGAATCTGAACTGTAAAAGAAAGCAGGGACTCTTTCTATAGTTTTACTGGGTTCTTACCACAAAGTTCAGAAAAAAACTGCCACTTGTTATGCAAGTGTAAACAGACTGTAAGAGAAAGCAGGAATCGTCACAATGGCAATACCTGTTTATTAAAACCTTTTGACAACTCTGTCTTTTGACACAATAATTCCTGTACAGTACAATGCAATACATTACGATTTTCATACCTAGAACCTCTGAGACATTTTATAGTAATTTATTTAAGTAATTTATTTGGTACTTATCATCTTATTACCTAAAATAATTGCCTAGTACTTTGAAGTTTCTATCCCACACTTACCTGGGTAATACCTAGAACCTGTGAGACATTTCATAGTAATTCTTTTAGACTATCCTGTTACCATCTAATTACTTAAAATAATTACCCAGTACTTTGGAATTTATACCTTACCCTTAGTAATACCTAGAACCTGTGAGACATTTCAGTATAATTAATTTAGACTATTCTGGTACTTACTATCTTGTCACCTAAAAATAATTACCTAATACTTTGGAGTTTGTATACCACACTTACCTCGTTAATATCTAGAACTTAGGGGACTGTAAAAGAAAGGGTTACCCCATATTCTACTGCAGACTTCATCCATCATGGTAAAAATGATCTTTCTTGTTATTTAACTGATTTTTTTTTAAATGTTCATCTGTTTTCATGACAGTTGCGTTCAACACTCCCAGTTATGATCCCTGTAACAACTACACATCTCTGGATCAACCCTGGAGAGCCACTAATGAGACTGGAGGGTCCAACTGTGATAGAAACTTCAACTGGAATGGCTGGTATCGGCTGCTGTATAATGGGATGAGTGTCCGTATGCCAGACAGCTGTGTTAATCAGTCCGATGTGGTACTTATTACACTCTGTGGCTGAATGGATCTCACCCTCAGATAAAGGATGGAATAGTCACTCGTGGAGTCTGTGGGGGTTTTGGAAGTGACTGCTGTTACTACAGATCCACCCCAATTCAGGTCAAAGCATGTCCAGGAAACTATTATGTCTATGAGTTTGTCAGGCCAGCCTTCTGTAATGCAGCTTACTGTGCAGGTAATATGATTGTTATATGCATTCCAGTGGTTTTCACTAGTGTTTTTCAGTCTTATATTATATTTGTGGTTAACCAGCTCAAACTAACACTGAAAATATGATAGAAATTTAAACTTTAATTGATGTAACTTTAGTCTACTGTAAATTTAGTCTTTTGCTGTAAGGTTTCATATGATGCAGAATGAGTCCTCACAGGAATTCTTATAAAGAAAATGTAACTGAAGTTTTTTTTCAATTGTAAGATGTAAAAAAAAAGAAACTTAGATAACTGCACAACACTTTGTGTTTCTGTATATGTCTTTAGATTTAGAATTATATGTAGATAGAAAAAACGATTAATTAAAGTAAATTATTCTAAGAAAAAATAGGAAGTCCACCATTAAGAAATCACCAAAACCCCAAAAGGTTAATGTGGAAATGTGAAAAATGACAAAATTGGATATAAAAGATTTTGTCCTCACAGCAATGCTATATAAACTTTGATTTTTTTTGTCATTGATGCTTATTTTATTGTTTCAACAACAGTTAATTTTACAGATCCCTGCAACAACTACACTGCTCTGGATCAACCCTGGAGAGCCACTAATGCAACTGGACTGTGGATCTGTGACAATTATTTTAACTGGAGTGGCTGGTATCGGCTGCTGTATTATGGGATGAGTGTCCGTATGCCAAACAGCTGTGTTAATCGATCCAGATGTGGTACTTACTACACTCTGTGGCTGAATGAATCTCACCCTCAGATAGAGGATGGAATAGTCACTCGTGGAGTCTGTGGGGGTTCAGGAAGTGACTGCTGTTCCTACAGATCCACCCCAATTCGAGTTAAAGCCTGTCCAGGAAACTATTATGTCTATGAGTTTGTGAAGCCAAATGTTTGTGATGCTGCTTACTGTGCAGGTACTTACTGTATGATTATTTTATTAGCTTTAAATGATCATTTTTCAAGAATTTTGTGAAAGTTTATTTATGTTTGTATCAATGTTCTTTTTATTCAGATATAAACACCGTCACTCCAAACACTGCCCAGATGAATGTGACCAGTGTTGCTGCATCACAGATAAACACTGGTAGGTCTTCCCAAGGTTTTACTGTATTTTGGATTTTGAAGACGTTCTTGTCTAAATAAAGAATGATGGCTTTATGGACATACATTACATATATAGTATGCGTGATGCACTATTAGACTATCTAATATCAGCACCAGGCCAATGGAAAATTCTACTCAGTAGTCACTGGCCAGTCAGCAACTATCAGTCTGAGCACTTTTTCAGCAGGTATAATAGAAATGTGCCACAGATTGTCCCTGCGTCTTTCTCTAGTGACCCTTTTCAGCAAGTAATTTGGTAACACCACAGCAAATTCCTCTTAAACTGGAGACAGTGAAGATGCTTGTGTTCTACTTGTGCTTTACAAGAGCAATTTATGACAGATGGCATGTTTTCTGATTTGTAAATCATCCAACTGTCAGCCATCATGATAGACATGATTAACATAAGTTTTTTTTATTAACTGTACCTTGGGCCACTTAGGGTGGGTTGCACCGACAAGGATTACATAAACAGAGTTAATAGCTAATCAAGGATTTTTAAATCTGAGTATTTTAAATTGAGCTGTTGTTGCACCACTTAATTTCAAATATGGATTAAGAAATCTGCCATTAAAGTCTTGATCTGCCAAAAATTACGAACTGCTATTATTTTGATTGTCCACCCTTTTGGATTTGGCAGTATAAAACAACAACAACAACATTACCTTCTACAACAACAACAACAACCACTTCTTAAATTTCCTTATTATCAGGAGATTGTCAGTTCGAATCCTGGTGATGCTACAGCTGCCCTGAACTGAAAATAATTTGTGTCATTCTGTGATGGAAGGAGTCCCACCTTGAGGAAATTTAAATTGAACTATCATATTATATACAACCCCAATTCCAGATTCTAAGACACTGTGTAACATGTAAATAAATGTAAATAAAAACAGAATGCAAATCTCATAGACCCATATTGTATTCACAATAGAACACAGAACATACATTAGGTGTTGAAAGTGAGACATTTTACAATTTCATAACAAACATTAATTCATTTAGAACTTGATGGCAGCAACGTGTCTCAAAAAAGTTGGTACTAATAAAAAATAACCGGAGGAGCAATTTGCAACTAACCCACATGACTGGGTATAAAAAGAGCATTTTAGAGAGGCAGACTCTCTCAGAAGCAAAGATGGGCAGAGCTTCATCAATCTGTGAAAAACTGCATCTAAAAATTGTGGAACAACTTAAGAAAAATGTTCCTCAATGTAAAACTGCAAAGACTTTGGATATCCCACCATCTACAGTACATAATATCATCAAAAGATTCAGAGAATCTGGAGAAATCCCTGTACACAAGGGATAAGGTTGACAGTCAATTTTGGATGCTTGTGACCTTCCGGGCCTTCAGGTGGCACTGGCATTGAAAACAAGCATGATTCTGTACTGAAAATCACTGCATGGGCTCAAGAACACTTCCAGAAATCACTGTCTTTGAACACAGTTGGCTGTGCAATCCACAAATGCAAGTTAAAGCTGTATCATGCAAAGAAGCCATATGTCAACATGATCCAGAAAAACCGCCATCTTCTCCGGGCCAAAGCTTATTTAAATTTGACGAAACATGAAACGAAAAATCCAGCAAAGAAGACCCAGGGCAGTTGAGTAGCTAAAATCCTACATCAGACAAGAATGGGACAACATTCCTCTCCCAAAATTCCAGCAATTAGTCTCCTCACTTCCCAGAAGTTTACAGACTGTTGATAAAAAAGGAGGGGATGCTACACAATGGTAGACACGGCCCTGTCCCAAATTTTTTGAGATGTATTTCTGCTTTCAAGCTCTGAATGAGTTAATGTTTTTAATGACATGGTAAAATGTCTCACTTTCAACATTTGATATGTGTTCTATGTTCTTTTGTGGATAAAATATGGGTCTATAAGATTTGCAAATCATTGCATTCTGTTTTAATTTAGATTTATTTACATTTTACACCCAACTGTTTGAATTTGGGGTTGTATTAGTACCAAAAGTTTGCTTTGGAAAACCTCTAACTAAACCAATAAGTTTGAGTTGAGTGAACTTTAGTCTATTAAAATAAAGCAACAAATCACATAAGCAAAAACATGGTAAAAGTATTTAAACATCATTATTTCATTATCATCATCACCACTACTACTCA